CCTGTAACCATCTGATCACGATGGAGCTGCTGCAATGCTGCAAAATTCACATGACCAAAGCGAAGATGCCACCGAAATATCGATTCACCTCCAGCCACAAATGATGCAACAACTTGAGGTGAATTACACAAGCCACGAGTGCGATAGTAACCTCGACTCTTGACAAACACTATTGCTGTCGGCCCCTTCCATAACAGCCGTCTTGGAGGTCCGTCCTGAGGATACTGTGACTCACATTGCCAGCCTTGCTCTTCAAGTGCATTAACACTTAGCAGATTAACGTGGCATCCAACAGCATTACGGACTCCAGTAAGAACGCAATCAAGCGCTTCTCCAGTTTCGCCACGTCTATCTTGTGTGGATAGGAAAGATACAGGCAATTGAGACACCAAATGTTCCGTTGTTACTTCTCCTGTCCACGATTCATGTGTAGTGGTCGTCTCCACGTAGTGCGGGAACTGTGTCATAAGTGACCGGTCAGCGCATGTATGCGTAATAGCTGCTGTGTCTAATATCCACTCCAACGAATTAGAGGTATCAGACGTCGACAGTAATGTAGACCCAGTACTTGACACAGCACAAGTATTTTCAACACGACCGATCATTCCCAATGGTAACGGCTGAGGAGGTCCACCTTTGTTTCCCCCATATCCTCTAGAGCTATCCCCAGAATCGTTGCCACACTTTGCCTTTTCAGCATCTACGTTGCCGTGCTTCAAATCAAATTTGAGCTTACGACACTCAAATTTGTGATGGCCTTCTTTATCACAATAGAAGCACTTGCCCTTCTTTCGTTTACCAGGACCAGACTTTTGATTGGATTTGCTTCCTCCTTCACTGGATTTAGCTCCACCAGATTGTGCTCCACTGGGTTTAATCCAGCTAATATGTTTACTAGATTTGTCACCAGTTTTCTGTTTCTTAGCCACGTGCATGATCTTCGAGTTTCCCTCTTCCTCATCGCGGACGATCTCATCCATCTCGGTCTCGGACTTCAGTGTGTTCAAGACTTGCTGCAGAGTGGGTCGGGACCCGGGAGCCATGATACGAGAAAACTGACGCACGACATCTCTGTGTGTCTGCACTTCTCCCATGAGAATCACGTCCACAGTGAGATCATCATCGATAACTCGACCCAGGTTAGCCAACGCACGACGTGTATCGTGAATCTCCTGAAGCCAAGAATCCATCGTCTGCTCACGAGTGTAAGTTGCGTGGAAGAATTGCTTCAATACCCACACGTAATTAGAAAACTCACGCTTAGTATGGTGTGCTTCCAGATCTTCCCACATTTTCTTACCAGTTGGAAGATCACACATACGCTCAGCGTCTTCAACTTTAGCACCACAAAGCAACGTATCTTTCACGAAGAAGTCCAACATATCGTAGCGTTGTTGAAGTTCCCCATTTACAGTCGGACGCTGTACGGATCCATCGATAAGACCCCAAGCATTAAATCGATGTAAATAGGCCATAACTTGAGCGCGATAGAGGTTAAAGCTTCCTGCCATTTTTGGTGGGTTTTTGTTCACATCCATCGCCAGGTTAGGCGGTGGCAATGGTATCCTTTGCTGTTGTTCTCCATTAGCGTGCAACCTCGCTGGAGCATTCACCACCGGAGCTCCAGTCAAATTGAGCGTTGAAGTTGGTGAGCTCAACGCAGAAACAGGCTGCGGCTGTGGAGACTGAAGGACCGGAATCCCGCCAGGACCACCAACCAACGGACCTACCAGTCCAGCCGCTGCTGACACTGCAGGCGTCGATACAGCCATCATTTGTCGCGACGCGGTCGGAGACGGAGTACCAAGTAAGTCAGACATCGAAGGCAGCGTCCACGACATCGTCAGCGTTCACGTTAGTTCTGGAAGTTTACTCCAATCTTGGGCTCATAACCCTAACAGCGAGCGTCTCATACTCGTTCACTTGCAGAGGTCGTGTACGATGTCTGAACAGTGAGCACGACGGAAGAAGTAAGCGTTAACACACTACTCGCCCCACACTTGGCAGATTGGGAATTGCTGGAGCTCCACTCTTGGTGGACTCCGTTAGAAATAAAGATGTCAACCAAGTATCTAACGGGCGAGTGACTATCAATACTAAAAATACTTCTGGTTTCTGAGACTGTGTCGTCCAGGTCTCATAGTTACGTTGAATCCATGATCTTTCGTCCACTGATGAATAGCGGCTATAGCTTCCGCTTTCGATGCATACGTCTTCTCTGGTGGTGGCTCGATGTTCACTGACGGTCTCGCAACTACGGGCATCGTAAGCAATTCGTCGACTGCATCCAAGCACAACAATCCCTCGTCATCGCATCCTGTACTGCGCGAACGACCATCACTGAGGTTGTATTGAGCCTGAACGGAGTCACTGGAAGACGCGGAAAAAGTGGTCTCGGCAGGGATCGTAGCATATAAACTTAAAGTCACAGCTAGAGAATTCACGTTATCTGTCATCTTAGATGCCTCTGAACTGCTGGAGAGCTTGTATTGGATTGCGTAAGAGTATTTTCTTGAGTGCTGGAATGTGTTTTGGAAAGTGATGAGGACATGATAGTTTAGAAGGATCGTCCTCCATATAGATATGTTTTCCTTTCGTTCTTACCCACCGGTAAGGACAAGAAGTTTTAAATATTGGGACGGACACGCCTCTGTGGGACGGACACGGCCACATTAGTATTAGATTTTGTATACTGAAATATTGCAACGGACACGCCGCTTAGAGACGGACACGGCTTGAAATAACTCGATTTTATTATTTGAAAAACTGCTGCTACAAAAGATTTTTTTGTGTCGTCTCTGCGCACAGTCTGTCCCATGGCCCTTCTCGGAATGGCCCTCCTTACCGAATAACCTTAGTTATGAATTACTCTTTGTTACTTCCTCTGGTCGGAAATGATCACGCGAAGTTAGTATGATAGGTCGTTCAACTGTTCAATCCTCGATAGAAATTTGATTAAAACCTATCATACTAACTGACACGTCTTTCAACTGCTCTATCCCCGATAGGAATGCTCTTCAATTTGTCACGTATACTTCGTCTCGATTCTTCCGCTTTCTGCCGCTGTTCTTCTTAAGCCGGTTAAGTCACTCACCCCTACGACACCAGCCGTCATTGCAGCTCCAATTAACTTCACGGTGTCCGGAAGTCGGCTCATAAGAACATCAAACGCTTCACGGGGTAGTTCTCTGTTGTTGCTGATCTTTAGAAGCTCGTCAATGACGGCTTTTGCGCTCGTTGTCGATAAGGTTGGACTTCGGCATGTTTATAGAGGAAGAAACAGCGTAGCGCAGGCGTGGCGGGTCGCACTCCAGGCGAGGCTTGAAACCTTGAGAGCTAAAACTGAAATTGCAGAGGCTATAGAAGTCCGTTCTGCGCACAACCGGTGGCTTTAAAAAGAGGAGGTGCAGGGCTTCCGTTTGGTCCAATCAGATGCCGTATTGGATAAATAGAGCTGAAGCGATTGGTCATTTTGTCAGTTTCGCGTGATCATTTCCGACCAGAGGAAGTATCAATTACACTTCAATGTGGCCAATCAGAAGCCGCCAAACGCTGAGTGGGAAAAGAAGCCGTGCATCCTTAGTTATCAATTAAACGACTTGACAAATAGTAATTTGCGTACATTATCTACATAGTACTGGTCTCACTTCTCAGAGCCGCAGATGAGTCCAACGCAACGAAAACGCCCAAAGGGGACGCCGTAATACATTACGGCGTACACTGCTTCTCACAAGCTGAGGCTACTAGAGTATCTAGACAAGAACGGTAGTATTGCGTCCGCAATTCACAAGTTCTACCCTGATTTACCAGCTAGCAAATTTAATTGCCGCCGTATCATTTATTCATGGCGTCGATCTCTTCACAAGATAGTCGCTGCGTGTACAGTCCCTAAAGAAGCCAAGAAGATGAAGGCACGCTCAAGCTGAAACCTCCAGATCGAGCTCTACTATGTTAGTGGGTTCGAGAGGCAATGGGAGATGTGACCGTTTCGACGATACGCGCCGGATTTCGCCACTGCGGCCTAGTGCAGATGTCTTCGACGCACCAAGACGTATAGAGACCTTACAAGCGGATAAGGAGATATTTCAAGCTATGGTACATTCAGATTTGATCGACACTAGTGTACAGCAGTTTACGCTAGACGACGACTTTGATGATCTTTTTCGTGAACTTGCTCAAATTTAAATACTGTTTGTTCGAAGAAACCGATAGCCGGTACACGCAATTTCTGGTCTCTGCACTGCAGATTGGGTGTAATGCATAACTAAGGTCATTCGGTACTTTCACCCTTTGCACAATGGTGTACACATCGATGAGGGTCATGTGGCCGATACCTTATTCGAGGTCCGCTACACTCAGCAAAAACGCTAAGAAATTAAACTGCATAGGCGCGGCCTCAATGCTTTTGGGGACCCCAAGGAACCAGCAGTTATGCTCTCGCAAGACGTCCCAGCAACCGTCAAGACGTTAATTCGAGAGCATAATGAGCGAAAATCGGTGTGAGTGCTCTAAAAGGCGTTTTGAACCACCTAGCGAGGTTGCTAGGAATCCTGGAAAGCAGCTTAACTAGAGGGCGCCTGCATATGGACAACATTTTCGGAGAGGGGAGGGTTCTAGCGCTAGTTACAGAGTGCTTATGTTGGTGAGATTGTGCCCACTGGCACCAATACTCCAGCGGTCCGCAGCGGTAACACGGCGGTTGTGCAGTGGACAACCTCTCACAGATGTCATGCTAAGAAAAAAGAGTGAGGGACACAACAATCCCCATATACCAATTCTAAAACCATTAGTACATTCTAAAAAGAATATTTAAATTAGGAAATGTGTATGAGCATTTATTAAAAGCAAATCAGTAGACCACGAGACAGCATGTTGGAAATTGAATTTCATTTTGTATTAAACTGAATAAATTTTACAGTATTGCTACACACATACTGTAAAATTTAATCATTTTAATACAATTTGAAAATCAATTTTCAACAATTGAAGGGACGTTGAAGATGACGGGACGCGATGAAGTCTCCACATGGGGAGCACACCCTCCCTCGATTTCCGGCCCAAGTGCGGAGCTTGAGAAGCTCCTGGCGGCTGCCACTGACTCAATTCACGGTACATACAACGCTGAGACGATGGTGGACGAACTGTTAGCGAGCACGTGGGAGCCAACAGACCCGACTTTCGACACGAAGAGCAGTCTCACCTCGTTCAGCCAGCACACGTCATCTCTCAACGCTCTCCAAAGCGTATTGGCTGCGTCGATTGAGCGTCTCGTCCAGCACCGCAAAGTGGTGTCTAACCGTATTGCAGAACTGGAACAGGACAGTCGACGAGTGAGCAGCAAGCTCCATGAGGGACTGCTCAAGCTGCTGCTTAATGTAATATTTGTAGATAAATATAACAGTAGAATCTACAGACTGACAGTATCTTTTTATTGTTTTTTAAAGGATATTTGTGCTCAGATGGAAGACTTGGAGGAGAGATTTACTAAAGTGAGTTCTTTGGACGTGACGATTGGAGATAAATTGTCGACGTTGGATACGGAGCGGTCCCGAGTATTGGAGACGGACGAGTTGATGGAGGCGCTCTTGGCTCTGCACGACCCCAGTAGCAAGTTGACCAAGTCAAGTAACAAACTTTTCAATACACTACACGACCCAACCAGCTGCATGAAGCTTCGCGGATTATCAAAAAGATAAGTGCGTTTTCCTCCGAGTTGTCGTCTTCTTCCATGGCGTATGCGGTGGCAGAGATCGAGCGACTGAGTCAGACGACGGAGAATAATTAGCTGACAGAGTTCAGCCACGAACAGGAGAAAGAAAACTTGACGGGGATGCGGCGATGTGCCAAGTCGTTAATCGAGTGCAACGACAAGGAGAAGGTGGCGGATCGATACGTGTGAAACGTCATGTGCGATCAACTAGCAACGTACGAGGCAGAATTTCAATCTTTCGGCTGAGTTGTTGTATGCGACTAACTGCTGCTGACTGTAGAGCTGCTGGGGAGCCTGCTACGTCGTCACTGGATCCGATTGAGGATCTGGACGCGCTCTTCTCCAAGATCCTGACCATCTGCACGGACCAATTTCCAGTGATCGACAGCGTCTTCCCTGCTGTAGCCTGCGCCTCCATCCGCGAGCTGCTAGTGGAGCGTTTGTTCAATGACCCAGCGTTTGGGGTTTATCCTTCTTGGACCAATTTCTCAAAACCCGTCGGTACACTGAATCGCCCCCAGACTTTGAAAATGCATCCTCTTCCACGTCGTCTTCACCGAACCGAGACTACGTGCGACTGTTGTGTTCATCGTACGAGAGAGCGTGTGTCTTGGTGGCTGAGATCGAAGATATCGATCAGTCAAAAGCAATCAAGCGAGACGCTGTATCAAACCAAGACTCGAGTACCGTCGACGATCACTTGACTGAACCTCCTGCTGCCAACGAGATCGAGAGAATCCACACGTTTCTCAATCTCCAGCTCCATTCTCTGTTTGGCAACCATCGAAACACGTATCTGCAGGCAGAGCTGGACTTGTTGCAAGACCAATTCAAGGACATCATAGCCTCAGTATCGTTTCCCCAGCCGCCCGTACTTTCCCGAAGCAAAGGAGGCGTATCCAAAACCAAAACTGTGGCTACAACAACTGTCACGATTACATCCTCGTCGTCTCCATCGGCGTCCTCCATTCAGTTGGTGTCTTCAGCCTCCACGACGTCGATATCGTCGTCCAATCTCGAGAAAGATATATCCCAATTGGAGTCGTCGCTTGTATTCTTCGAGACTCTCCAAGCGCTGGCGGAAGACGAAGATGTAGCCATCAAGTATGGGGAAGTGCTGAACGAGACAATTGATCGCTGCGACATTGTCTTGAAAAGCTCCGAGCTACGTGGAGAGCTCATCACCAAGGCGTTCACGTCTTTCGTGGCCTCATTTGGATATGAGTATTTGGGGGTGCGTCGTAGTGTACATGTCCCTATTACGCTTCATACTGACACAGTTGTCTCTGTAGAAACTCGTGACTTTGACCAAGGAGATTTTACAAGAACAGCGGCTAACTACAGATTCCCCAATGCAGTTTTTCATCCTCACAGAGGTCAGTGAAAGCCAACAAGTTGCGTATTTCGACCTAATATTGTTGAAATGGATGTCGCTGTTAGGCTTTACTCAAGCGAACCGGCTTCCTCGACGACCAATTCGAAGCTTTCATTGCGCCGTTGCAGGAGGATTTGCCAACCGAGCTCACGTACGTTGACGCTCTTTTTGACATTGCAGCGATCACTTTTAACGTATTTCCATTTGATGCTCTTTAGAATCTGCCAAGAGAGCAAGCAGAAATGTCTCAACAAGCTCGAAAGCGCTATCGGATCCGGACTCCAGCAAGTGTTGACTGTGCTGGAGAAGGCAATTGGCCAGATCCTGACCGCCCACCAGAACAAAGGATACTTCCTCGGCAGTCAAGCCAGCATGTCGCTCTCGTCCTCCAAGGCCTGTCAGAAGTGCACTGAGTATTTGCAGCCACTCGTGACTGTCCTCTGTCGCGTCCTGGTGCGTATAGAAGTCAATATACACTGCAACTAAACTTGACTAACTCAAAACTTTACGTCTCTTATTAGGTCAAAGAGAACTGCGATCATTTCCTTGTAGCTCTTACGAAGTCATTCAAAGATCTGTATCTGCAGCATCTAAGGAAATTCCGCTTTGATCCCGACGGCGCCTGCATGCTACTGCGCGACGTGAGCGAATATCGTCAAGCACTCCGCTCTCCGTCCGTGCCAGCAGCAGTCAACGACATCTTCAACCTCTTGCATGAGGCTGCTAATGTGTTTGCACTGCCACCGGAGAATCTGGGCGGATTCGTTCGGGAAGGCAAGCTGGCCACGTTGGACAAACAGACGCTGCATCATATGTTGAAGCCCTGTCCTCGGACGGGCTGCACTTCTGGCGCACTTGTGGTTAACTACGCAAATGAGAGAGTGAGATTAGATTCCTTATCCTACTAACCTATGTCTTGCCTTTCACCGCAGATCTCTGGTCCGGACCTTCCCTACTTCAACACCCCTCCTCGCCGGCAACGTCAAGCATCCCTACCAGCGCTCTCATTTTCCACCTTCGCTACATTTGCCTCTCGAGGCCTAATGCAGCCCCACTTCGACTCGCAAGTCGGCCACCCTCGACGCACTCAGTGCCTTCGTCATCAAGTCGGCGGGCATGTGCTCGCTCTCACGATACTCGGGGCCCAGAATGCCCCTCTTCGTGTAGGAGCCTACGAACTTTATGCGCACATCAATGTGCTTTGCCTTCGCACTCGCACCCTCACCGCCTAACTGCTTCCACGCTGCCTGATTGTCCACTCGCAGCGGCATCGGCTGTACGTACTCGACGGCGAGTTCGCCTAGAAGTTCTCGAACCCCTAGTAACTCGGCGGCCATCACCGAGGCCGCGGTGTACTCCGCCTCCATCGTGGACAGCGATACACCGCCCTGCTTCTTGCAGGTCCAGCTGATAGGCATCCCATCCACAGTAACGAGTCCTCCGGTCACGGACTTCCTGTCCTGCTTGTCGGCAGCGAAGTCCGCGTCACTGTACGCGACGACCTCCAGCGGCTCCTCCGAACTCCTGTCTTTCTTCATCTGCAGACGCAGGCCCTTCGTTCCCGACAAGTACCTGACTATGCGCTTTGCCAGTCTCCAGTCTGCCATCGTCGGGTTGTGCGTCCGGCGTGACGCCTTGTGCACAGCGAACGCAATGTCGGGCCGCGTGCAACGCGCCACCCACATCAAACTTCCGACCAAAGACTGAAACTTCGCAACAGTCACTGCGCTACCGTCTCCTGACAACGGCAAGGTCTCGCCTGCACCCAATGGCAGGTCATTCCACTCCAAGCCAATGGGCGTGCACACCGGCCGCGCCGCCTCCATCTGGTACTCATTCAGGATGTCAGTGATCGCAACCTCCAGATCTAGATCGTATCCATTCTCGTCATCATACGTGACGCGCGTCCCCAAGAACTTGCTCACCACTCCCAGGTCCTTCACAGACAGATCCGATAACTCACCAAAGAAAGCGTTCACCGCGTCTTGGTCCGTGCCGGTGACCAGCAGGTCGTCCACATAGACGCCTACGACGACCAGCACTCCTTGCGTCCGTCGATAGTAGACGCACATGTCCGTCAGGCTCTGTTCGAATCCCAAGTCTACCAGCTTCTGGTGGAGCAGTTTGCTCCAGAGTCGCCCAGCCTGCTTTAGTCCATTCAGCGCTTTCTTCAGCTCGAGGACCAGCTCGTCGTCACTCGTGGCGCTCAGCTGCTTCTTAATTTCTTCCGATATGACCATTCCCTGCGGCAGCCGAATGTAGATGTCCAGTTCCGGCTCCTTCTCCGCCTTGAAGTAGGCGTTTGGTACATCCCCGTGTCTTGCTGGGACTTTCCACTTCCTGGCCAAGCACAGGATGAGCTTCACACTGCACATGTCGATCACCGCGGCAAAGGTGATCCCATAGCTCACACCGAACTCTTGCTCGTTCCCGCAGGCCACGAGCCGCGCCTTCAGCCGTTCAATGAATCCTGCAGCATCTCTTTTCGTCTTGAAAACCCATTTTGTATGCAATGCACGCGCCCCATTGGGTAGCCGCGTGACCTTCCACACTCCGTTTTCCTCGAGTGCTTCGAGCTCCTCTTTCATAGCTTTCATCCATTTCTCACGCCACTGGTTGCGCATTGCCTCTCGGTAGTTCCTCGGATCTACCTCCATCACATTGTTTACCACTCTGGTTTCTTGCTCCTCCCGCTGCACGGACTCGTCCGTGTTCTCCGCAGCCTTTCTTGCGACCGAACGTGTCTCGTGACGTTCTCGCTGCCAGGTTTTCTTCTGCTTGGATTGCTTCTTTCCCTTTTTCCCGCGTCTGCTCCCGGCCGACGCGCTCTCAGTGGTGGCCGCCTCAGCGGCGCTCGCAGATCCACTCGTGGACTCATCCACGACAGCACTGTCATCATCCTGCAGGTACAGCCGCTGCACTTGCTCGTTCTGGGTCTTGTTAAGCGTCTCAATGTTCTTCACGTGTTGTGTTGTAACCACCACGCGGTCCTTTGGCAGGTAAACTCTGTACCCTTTCGTTTCTTCTTCAATCCCGACGATCATGCCGTGCTGAGCACGCTGCGAGAAATTCTTGTTCCGCGGGTCTCTATACACAAAACACGGGGAGCCAAAAACGACGATTTCGCCTAGTGCCGGTGTCCGCTTCGTTTGTATCTTCAGCGGCGAAGCTCTGCCCGGGCTCGAGTTAGTCGGCGACCTGTTCAGAATGTAGGCCGCGTACTGTACAGCATCCCCCCAAAAGTTTAATGGCAGTCCACAGGCGAAGATCATGCACCGTGCCATGCTCATTATGGTCCGATGCATGCGCTCAGCCTTCCCGTTGCTGGCTTGATTTCTGGCCTCGCTCCGCTGACGCACTACCCCGGTCTTCTTGCAGAATAAGTCTACGTTTTGGTGCTCTCCACCTGAGTCCGTCCTCAGTACATGAATCCTGCAGTCGAAACGCTTCTCAAAGAACGTGAGGAAGTGTTCAAACTGCTTGGCGGCAGCATCTTTCGTTCGCGCCAGGAACACTCTGCAGTAATTGCTCTTATGATCGACGAAGTTTATCATGTAGCGGTTATTGAGACGATCTCGCGGCGTCATCGGACCCTTCAAGTCCGAGCAGATTACTCCACCAACTCGATCGATCGGCGAGTGGTCCCCAGTATCTTTCTGCGACTGCCGGTTCTTCGTCTGTTTCCCCTGTGCGCAGGTTAAGCAGTTGACGCGGCGGTGGTCCGTGATGACGATGCCCGAGCTCGGGTCCCGTGCAAGTTTTTCAACCGCGTCGTAGCTTAAGTGTCCAAACCTCTTGTGGAACTCCACCAACGTGTCCTTCTGCACGTCACCCGACCCCACTTCGGCCTCAGCCTCAGCCTGATCAAGAGCCGCCATGATTACTCCCGATGGGGCTCCTCCTTTCCGCGCTACGACGGCAGGCACGACTAGCACGCCATGCCGCAGATCCACGTCAAATGCTACTCGCCCTCCGTCTACACCGGCAACGACGCGTCGTCCGTTTCTGTATGTCAGCGTATACCCCTTCTTGTCAAGTTCGCCGTAGGAGATCAAGTTGTGCACAACGTTCTCGGCGTAATACACGTCCATGAGCTTCACGATCTGCTCCGTCCCGCTCGCCATGACGCGCAGCGTGAGAGTTCCTTTCTTACTGATCTTGAGTGGATTTCCGTCTGGCTGTACACACTCGTCCAAGTACTCCTCGACGTCATCCATCCACGACGCATCGCTCACGAAGTGCCGACTGGACCCGCTGTCCAAGATCCACATCACGTCGGACTCGTCCGACGTCTCTCCTACAGACACCGTGAGGTCGGGTTTCCTGGCGCCCCCTCGCGTCCGTTCAGGACATGCTGCGCGCAGATGTCCAACTTTCCCGCACTCATGGCAGGTGCGTGTCTCCTTGCCGCGGCGCTCAGCCACGGCGCCCACGACTTCTCTGCCGAGATTCTTGTGCTTGGCAGGTTCTAATTCCCAGGCTTGCGCGAAGTGCGCCAACCCCTCAGCCTGCTGCAAGTAGTCCGCTCTTGTCCCATCTACCTTAGCCATTAGCACTGTACGCAAGTCCGCGGACGCGTACTGCACGATGTTGTTCAACACAAGGTAGTCTGCCCCGCCACCGCATGCCTCTGATACGGCGACCAAGTACATATAGTGTTCGGGCCACGATCTCTTGCCTTCCTTCGGCGCAGTGAGCAACTTCATTGCTTGCGCGGGGGTGATGTTGGTCTTGAACGTCTCGAGCATCCTCTCCATGACGTATTGCAGTGTGGGCAGTTGTGTCCACCAGGCATCTACTTGCTTGTTATAGTACCTTTCTGCAGTCCCCGCTAGGTAATGCCCCAGCAGATCCACCTTCACATCTTCCGGCCACGCGAACCCACATGCCGACTGCGCCAACGCAACTTGTCTCTCGAAGCGTCGATCCCACTCGAGGAATCCAGATCCGAGTCCCACGTACAACTCCTTTCCGTCGAATGGCCGAATCGCTAGCTTCTTCTGTCGTGCGTCCGGGTAGCGGACTCCTTGGTTCTGCTGCTGGAAATGCTCGCCTCCAGCCTGTGCCCGACCATCTCGTGGTGGCGCTGGTGCTGGCGCTGGTGCTGCCGGCTGCACTCCGTGCGCTGCGGCGTACAGGCGCTGTAACTCAGACATTGGCATGCCGTAGCCAGGTTGCTGGTGTCCGAAGTACTGTGGTGCAGCAGCTGGCCTACGCGGCGTCACTGTGAGTGGCGTCTGTGGCGACCCACCTAACGAGTCGATATGCATTCTTGTCCCGCGGCCGAGTCCAGACGCAAACAGACTGGAGTTCATGGGTGGTGTCGAAGGGCGATTCGCGCGCGCACGCCTTGCATCTTCATCGTCCAACTGCTTCTCAAGCTTCTCATACGACTCTTTCAGCTTGGTCTGCGACTCCTCAAGCCGCTCCAGCTGTCCCGCTACGCCCCGCTAGAGCGTCATCAGCTCTGCGGCAGTTCCCCCGGTCGCCGGCGCATTAGCGTCGGCGTTGTTGCCGCTACCCCTTTCGTGGTCCACGGCGGTGCTCATCTC